TTCGGCTTTTATATAAATGTACAAAATACTCCTTATGTGTCGTTCGACTTGATATAGTTTCCATTTGATTTAGTATTTTTTGGTTATCTTTTTAAATTTGCTGAGTGTAGATAGAATCTTCGGATACGATTCTCCGACGAGGCAAGTTTACGATGATGCCGCCAAAAAGATTGCGCTTTCTGTATTAAATGGAATAAATTGTGAGTTATTGACTTATTTCTTCTCTTTTGAACTGTAATTCTTCTACATATTGTATCATGACAAAATTTGTAGTACAAGCTTTATCCTTTTTCTGCTAAATTTCGTCCCCAGCAACTATTTTTGCATACGGGCAAACGAGCAGTGGAAAAACGTACACGATGAGCGGCATTACCGAATACACAATAGAAGATATATATGACTACATAAACATGGTACAATGCCTCTAATTAAAAAACTTAAAGCATTACTCAGATTGTTTTCTAACTAAAAAATTTACTTTGCATAGCATTCAGAAAGAGAATTCAAATTGAAATTTTCGGCTATGGAGATTTACAATGAATCGGTCAGAGACCTACTCGTCATGGACTGTACTCCTCTTAGGCTTCTAGACGATCCAGAGGTAAATTATTGGGCTTACACGTAAAGATTTTATTACAAAAGTTTTTACGGACCTTAAAGAGTTGTTTTTCTTTCCTTATTTTGCAGAGAGGGACTGTCGTCGACAAACTTACAGAGGTGACTTTAACAGACTACAGCCATCTAAAAGAGTTACTATCAATATGTGAAGGTAAAATAAAATTACTAACTTTTAGTTTCACTCTAGTTGCCAAAAATATATTGATCGTTTAAGAGTTCGAATTCATGTTACTCTCAAAATATAGTAGATTTTCTTTAATTGATATCTGCAGCTCAGAGGCAAAATGGGGAGACTACTCTAAATGAAGTGAGCTCACGATCTCATCAAATCCTACGGTTGGTAAGTAAGCTTCTCATTAAACAAGCCGTTTCTCGTTTTACCGACTTACATTAAGTTGTGGATAATTTCTATTTGCTACAGACAGTCGAAAGCGAAGCTCGTCAATATAAAGGTGCAGGCAGTTCAAGCCTTCTAACAGCTTCTGTGGTATAGGATAACATTCTTTTCTTTTCTTTTACGTTTATTTTCCAGCTCGAACACTCTTTTTTCTTTTCCATTTCTTGTAATTTAACATATATTTTCACATGGCAGAATTTTGTGGATCTTGCCGGGAGTGAACGTGCTTCTCAAACATTATCAGCCGGGACGAGGCTTAAAGAGGGTTGCCACATCAATCGCAGTTTACTCACCCTTGGGACTGTTATTCGCAAATTGAGGTATAATTTCATTTTTTTTTCTTAAAATCGGTTTAAAGTTTCGAAAAACTTGTCTATTGAAATGCTAATCCCCAGACAATTTGTTAATGCAGCAAAGGAAGGAACGGGCACGTACCATACAGAGACTCAAAGCTCACGCGCATACTTCAGAACTCGTTAGGCGGGAATGCACGAACAGCAATCATCTGCACGATGAGCCCGGCCCACAGCCACCTGGAGCAATCGAGGAACACACTCTTATTTGCCAGCTGTGCAAAACAGGTCAGCACGAATGCCCAAGTCAATGTGGTCATGTCCGAGAAAGCCCTCGTGAAGCAACTTCAAAAAGAGCTCGCTCGTCTAGAAAACGAGCTCAAGAATCTCAGCTCCACAGCTGCCTCGTGTGGTTCCTCGTCTGTCTTGAAAGAGAAAGAGCTCCTCATCGATAAGGTGGAATATATATTTTTTGCTTTTTTTTTGCTTTCTCGTTCGATGAATATAAATGACGAAATTGCATCTCATAAATTGTGCACAGATGGATAAAGAGATAAAGGAACTCACACACCAGCGCGACTTAGCTCAATCACGAGTCGAGGACATGCTTCGTTCGGCCTCCATTACAGAATATAACCCATCAAAATCTTGGGTTTGTACAAAATTCGAAAATCAACCGACACTAACTAATTATTTATTTATTTATTTATTTCCGGTTTTCCACTTTTCAGGTCGACATGCATAACCACGAGAAATCCTCGTCGTGGGCAAGTGAATACGCACCGTCCGAGATGTCCGACATAATCGACCCCACGTCCCGAACGCCTCACATTTCTGAAGCTGTTGCTCGGTCAAGCGCGATCGAGGATCATTTCACGGAGAACAACGAGGAGCAGTTCTTGTCCGGTGACACTTCGCCAGGACTTTACATCGACAAGTACTTTGGTCCCGACCCATGCAGAGGTTGGGAAAAGATGGCGTCTGTTCAAGGACAAAGCAATGGCTTTGAGGAAAACTGCAAGGAGGTTCAGTGCATTGAGACTGATTTTACCAATAGGAGTGTCGAGTCGAATTCAGGTTCCCCACGTAAGGGTGATCTATCGAGTTTGTGTTTGTGATGATTTTCTTGAAATTAAAAATCATTTTACGTTTTTTTTGTGTATTGAGGGTTCTTGTTATATATTACGTGTTCTTGTAGAGAGACCTACTCGTTTACCGCACAACGAATCATATCCTGGCAAACGGAGTACGAGTCCATCTGCACTAACATCCCCACAAAATGGAGCGCAAGTTTCCGGTCTGTAATAACTCTTTTTTCATGATCTTTTCTCTTACAAAATGTTATATGTAGTGAATTTTATTTATAAACACGTAGGAATTTCGTCGGACAATGATGCCTATTTCATCAAGAGTGAGACTATTTCAGGTACATATAGTTCTTAAACGAAGAATATTATGAGATTGTCTTCCCTTTTATGTTCTTCTTTACTAGTTTTTCGGGTTTTTGTATATCATGCAATGCTATTTCTATCTTCTTTGGTTAATTTCCAGACAATGACGTGTATTTCATCGAAAGAAAACCGATTTCGAACCTACCTTCCCCACAAAAGGATGCCGAAGTTTCAGGTTGTGTACTAACTAGCTCTTGTATTTTTTTATTTTTTTTCTTTAGTAAAAACTAATTTTTTGTTTTATTTTTATTTATTATCCGTGCAGACCGATCTCCATTTTCATCGGACAATGACTCGTCAGACATGGGCGGGAATGTCCCGAGGAGCCAAAGCTGTGCAGCAATACTGACCACAATTACAAAATCTCCCAGTCCTGAGTCAGAAGAAGAAGATGAAGAAGAAGAAAACGATCACGCGTTTCATGATAAGTCGAGCAGCCAAGAAGAACTTTCTGATGCAGGGGCAAAGGTTAATAATAGTTGGAATCTATGCAGAGTTGATTCAGAAAAATCCGACAGGAGTGATTGTCTGAATGATGACGAGGACCAAATTATAATGACATTCGCTAAAAATGATCGTAAAAAAGAAGCCCCCATTTTGATAGAAAATAAGGAAGTTGTCGAGCGCATATCAGTGAAGCACGTTGATTATGATCCGGTGAGAACGAATACCTTTTTCATAAAACTTTAGCAAAACCTTAAGAGCAGCATATATATTATGTTTAACATATGATCTCTATTGGCTTACCATTTCGTACATGTGCACGAGTCCTTATGTTATGTGGATAAATTTTTGTAGCAGGAAATGGTGGAAGAGAAAAAAGAACCGAATAAGCCAGAGGAAAATGCTATTGCTAAAGTTGTCACGTCATATAAAACTCCAGACACGGAGAAATCACCTTCCGATTGGCAAGCCGAATACGAGAGGCAAATGACACAGATAATCGAGCTTTGGGATGCTTGCCACATTCCTTTAATCCACAGAAGCTACTTTTTCCTACTTTTTAAAGGGGACCCATCGGATGCCGTTTACTTGGAAGTCGAACTCAGAAGGCTCTCGTTTCTCAAGAACACGAAACACGGAGTTCATACAATCAAGAATGGCTCGATTTCCATGCCAACCTCTAGGTAAACCACTCCTTTCTTTGTAATTTTAGGTTGTATTTGGTTTGGTAGGACGAGCTTTTTTAAAAAGTTTGAACTTATCTCTTAAACTTCCTTTGATAACTTTTCAAATAAGCCCATCGAAATTTTTATCTCAGCTAATTTTACCAAACACTTTTATCGTATAAGCTAGTTTTTCAGCCATAAGTCATAAGCTAGCTCAAAATTCACTTAAAAGCTATAAGCTAGCTTATCAGCTAGATTTACCAAACATATCCTTAATCTTTTTACTATGCTTTTTAAGTGAAGCTAGGAATAGAGAACGAATGGTATGAGCAATCGTAAAAAGAGATTTAAGCGGAAGATATATTTAACATAATCTTGGCTTTTGGAAAAAAAAATAGCTCGAAGACTCTCAACCGGGAAAGAGTGATGCTGAGCAAACACATGCTCAAGAAGTACTCGGCAAAAGAACGAGAAGCTCTATTCAAGAAGTGGGACATCGAGCTAAAGTCTAAACAGAGGAGACTCCAGCTGTGTCGGCTCCTTTGGACAGACAATAAAAACACAGAGCACGTGAAAGAGAGTGCATCGATTGTTGCAAGGCTGGTCGGGTTCAAAGAACCGAGCCAGGCACCTAAGGAGATGTTTGGGCTTAGCTTCGTGCCTGCAAGAAACGGGTCTTTCAGCTGGAGAAAGAGCTTGCCTCCTATGATGTAATAAAAGGCGTTCTTTTTTCTTGTTTTACTTGATTCGGTTTTAGTGAGCTAGTGAAATAATACTTTGGAATAGTTCTTTTTTTTCGTGTTTTTTTTTTCTGTAAACGATGAAAGATTCTGTCGTGTGTTTGTTTGTGTGTTTGTGTGTTGTACATGGAGGTTGAGTTGCCGGACTCCTCTTTCGGAAGGCTCCAACCGAGTACAGTAAAGCTCTCTATATATGTAAGCTATCAGGAATTGGATTTCAACTGCTTGTCAGTGAACTTGTGAAATTTATTGTGTCTCAGTACAGTGTGTTCTTGTTTTGGCTGTTGTTTTGTAAGAAATATTGTGATATTGTACCTAACTACCTAACAACGTAAAGATTCATGGCCCTTTTAACAAATGAAATGGTAGTTCTGTTCTGTTCTGTTCTGTTGTAAGAAATATTGTGATATTGCATTTTTTTTATTTTTTTTATTTTGACTTGATAATAATATGATATATATCCTGAATGCTAATCCAGCCAAATGAACACAAACACATGATGATAGCATTTACACAAAATGATCATTATTCGACAAGTAAAAAGTAAAAAATAAAAAAAATTACGATTTAAGAACAGCTCCTTCGACAATTTTCCAACCCGATTCCACAAAGGACATCTCATACCGTGTTGTATATGTCGAGCTATATGAGTCGTTATGTTCGGGGTGAGCCACGTCTGTCAGGTGGGCAGACTCCTCGAGAGTTGCTTCCACTACAGCACGACGCCCGTCAACAGACACTGTTACACTATCGATATTGAGATTCACGAGCTCATAGTCCCAAAACCAGCCATGCTGAGCAACTTCAGAAGCTTTCTCACTCCAGATTTTCAGCATTTGACCATCCAATACCTGCCGGCATAAATAACTTCTCCCTCAATCGTGTGAACAGACACTAAACAAAAGTTGAGTATTTCAGCAAGTCGTATAAATTTAGTATTCTGACAGAAGTATTTTTCTTTCTCCGTGAATGACTGGTTAAAGGAAAAAAAAAAACGAGCAATTCGCTCAACATTTCAACTGCCTCAAGGGTAGAGAAAAAACTTCTTAATATCTCTTCAAGGTTAGAGGTGCGTGTAGGGGACTAGGCGTATTAGCTAGTGGCCTAGTGTTCTCCTGAAAATCCTCAAGTAAACAAAATTTCTTATCTCGATTTGTTCATGTAAAACAGTAGCAACAACTAAATACCATATAGGGAAACTTGGATTGCCCTAACGTGCTCATGAAATATATATAATAAAATACCAGAAACCCAGGCAAAGCAAAATAAAGTGACGTAACTTAGAAAATTCTCACCTCTGACAATTTTTCAATAGAATGATCAGGACCGAGGGCTAGGGACTTTACACTTTGCCACTTGCGTACAAGGTTCTCTGCGAATCTTGCATCCATTCGAGGTATTTCACCAGAATTTTCAGCTACCGAGCCTCCTGACAGTAATATATGGCATTTGTGAAATAGGAGAAAACGAAAAAGTTTTTATTCACATTCCCAGTAAAACCTATCTTTACACAAGACACACCTGGTTTTCAATTTCTTCCTATTTCTTATATTTTTTTAATATAAGACCTCCTTTCTTGTTTCTTCTTTCTCTTTTAATATGTTTTCATTGTTAATCACATTCCCATATCCCAATAAAACCCAAGATTGACACTCCAGTTCATCTAGAGTTGATTTACAACCACTACTGATATCAACACAATATTTTACTAAATCATACCCACATCGATGACATCAGAAGCCACAGATACCGGGCCCGAATCCTTAGGTACACCACCATAGGAGGAGCCATTTCTCAACGGCAGAAACTTTAACCCCGCCAAAGTCAACAAGCCAACAGCCACACCAGCACACATGATCTTCAAGGTCGCCCCTTTAATATTCTCCTGCTGCTGGGGCCCACCAGCAGCACGGCTCCCCTCCTCAACTCCAGCCACGTAAGGATCATCACAATCAAGCCGGACCACAGTCGCTAGGTCATAACTCTTCGTTTCGTTCTCCTCATAGACCCTTGCATTCTTTTCACCACCGCCGAGTGGAAATACCCTCCTCAGCACCTGAACCGCACTAACCTTCACGTTGTCTAGCACGGCAGTCGTGGCCTCAGCCCCAATTCTTGCTATGGCAGCTGCTGCCGCCAGTGGCGAGCGCCCGGCACCTTCTATTCTCTCCAAGTATCTGAGCACCTTTGGATCATCATAATAGTCCCCAAGCTTGAACTCGACTCCCTGGGTCTCTCTAAATCTGGGGAACACAACCTCAGTCAACCACGTCTCGAGTAGTTTGCAGAGTCCGGGAAGAAGAAGATCGTCTTCCCTGTCGTCCTTGGAGTGCTCCAAGACAAAGTTGACGATAGATGGATCTCTATAGGGCGAATCCTGGTTGTCCAGTCCAAGCCATGAACGGCAATCATCAACCTCCCCAACAAGAAGGGAGCAGAGACCCCTCTCGAGGGCAAAGTCCACCTCACGGTTTTGTCTCACGTTGTAGGCGGTGGGCCCCACGGCCGTGACCTTTGTCTGCTGGAGCTGCTGGAAAAGGTTGTCAGCATCCTGGATGAGATGGGGTTTCTTGCCCATGAAGGCTTGAGAGACTAGAGCGAGGGCTACCCCATAGACTTCGAAACTCTCGGCAGGTATGTTGCTTGGTGTGGCAGCAAAGAGGTCAACCTTGACAAGAGAAAACGATATGTTAATCATATATTCTGGGACAAAAAAAGAAAAAAGGAAAGAAAAAAGAAAAAAAAAATGTGTGTGGAAAATGAAAGTATAAATCAACGTTAATGCACACCTGCTCGGCAGCTGTCATATGCAGGAAAGCCTCATTCATGAAATCTTCTCGAGTGAATCCTCCAGCAATGGCAGCTGCACCTCCTCCTCCCACAGCCCAGAGAATGTTCCGTAAACCTTGTAGGCCCTCTCCTCTCTTTGATTGGTAATCGTCACCAAGTGGTAGAGCTAGGAGCTCTAGGACACAGCGGGGGTTGATTTCCTCTAGGGTCTCGTCAATCTGGGCGCGCAAGTCGGGAGCAAGGTTGCTCGCACCTTCTTCCTGCATGAAAATGATGTATGATTTCTGAATAAGTTTCAAGATATTGTGCTTGATGAAGCAATACAACAATCATATCCTAGATCTTGAGGCAAATTGAGAGATATTGACACCAGCCGGCAAACTTGTATACCCAACCGCCAAACAGATAATAATAACGGGAATAACAAATAGATTATCATTTATTTACTTTTGTTAACCACTTCATGATGAAGATAAAATCGATTAGTGAAGATAACAAGTCTAATAGAGACATTACTAGATGCCAGAAAGCACGAGATCACAATGAAACAAACAGAAACAGGAAATACAGAGCCCAGATGCATCACGAGACATAACAGAGATGAATGAATGCATGAATACTTTTTTAAAGGACAGCAAATGAGTTCAAGACATAGCCACATAGGTTTTATTCTGATAGAAAAACAAACAACAAAAATCTTGCTGCGGCCTACCAAGGTTAAGAACACTAACCTGTAGCAACTTGAGAGCCATTTCGAGCAGCTCACAGCTTCTAATGATATCAGGGGGTGATAGTGCCATTGCATCCCTAGACAAATCTACATAAGCAAGCGCCATAGACAACACAATGTCTTGCTTATATGACTTAGGTAGCCTCTCTTTGAACAAGCTTTCCCCTATTTGGAGAACCAGTTCTGTGTCCCCAGCTTCTTGCAACACACACAAAGCTCCAGGAACCTAAAAAGGGCCATCAAAATTCAAGATCGAAATTTAGTAAGAAAGTGCTTCGAAATACTTCGCTCATTTGGTTTTGACAGAAATACCATGGAAGAGTTAAATAAAATTAAAGTAACAGACCAACTTCTAATTTGTCAATCATTCATCCAGCAATTAATTAATACAATTTGAATAGAGATGCAACTAAAAAGATGGAATTTCTAGCATCTTCACATTGTGAATATATGGACAACTAGAGCACACACATTCGATAATTACAGACAAGTCTAATATGCGTGTACACTAACCCAACCATTAGATCCTAAAATGAACTAATCCGGTGGATAAATTGGTTATGAATATTCCCTGTTTATGTCGTCTTTTGCAGGAATCAGTTATGACTTATGATGCCATTCCCTTTTCTTATGTAAGCTAAAAGTATCAAAAGACTGATAAAGATATAAGTTCAAAACAAGAATATAAACAACCTGATGAATTATTCTTGTTCATTTTAGTAATTAATATAAGGGGCAATAAAATTTGCCAGTTAAACCAGGCTTGCAACAACAGTAATGCAGTATCAATAAAGTAACCAAAGAAGAAAACCATTATCTTTCCACATTACAACAGCTATGACAGTAAAGAGAAAACCTTATCCCAAGGCACTTGAATGAGAATGGTATCAAACTCATCATCCGCGAGTCCCTGATTATACTCCCTGCGAGAGCTAGGAGTAGCCAGCGTCTCGCAAGCAGCTTGCAGAATCTGGCGCCGGCTAATCAGAGCCTCGTCGCTGTACCCATACTGAGGCGGCGTCGAAACCCTAGAGTTGTACGCCCGGCGAATGCCGTCGCCTAGAAAATGCGGCTCGGCCCCGAGGACCCTGTAGAAGTCCAACGGCACGGACACGTGCCGCTCGGGCAGGGAAGGGAGGACGGGCGGCGGCGTTGAGGTTGCTGCGTCTACAGAATCCGAGGTCGGAGGGAGAAACTGGAAGTCGGCTAGGAGGCGGTCCGCCCATTTGCTGGCGGTGGGACGGCCGCTTACAGCTGCGTGGGGTTTGAAGTGAGGGTTTCTGGCTGATGGAGGGGAGAGCAGGCGAGGTGAGTAGATTCCGACGCCCATTAGAGCAGCTTCCATTTTTCCGGTGATAATTGGAAGTTCGAGACCTCTTTATTTCGAGTGAAAATAAATAATACTACCTCCTATTTTAAATAGATGTCTTTTTCGGATGTTGCACATCTATTAAGAATATTTTTTTTGTCAATAATAATCTTATTTAATGAAGATAAAGATAAATGTTTTGAGAAAAAAATGAAAAGTGATTATAGACGTGATGTATTTATTAGCTAAATGAGGATAATAATGGAAAAATATGTATAAAAGATCTAAAACGACATTTATTTAACAAATAGTTGATAAAGCTATAATGACATTTAAAAAAAATAAGAGATAGTACCTTCCAATAAGACAAAGTCATGTTTGAAGATTTTTTTTTATTTTTTTATTTTTTTTTATCAAGATCAAGATATCTTTACAAAATGTCTAGATTTTGTGGGAGTATACTTTAATGATTTGTTATATTGTGCATATTTAGAAATTAAATAAAATATTATAAGTTATGCGTAGAAATATAATATTAGAATTATAAATTTGATAATAGATTTATCACATATTCAAAAATTAATCATTATTAAAAATAAAACAGTATAAATTTAAATTATTTCAAGTATATGTGAATTATTATATCGATTGAAAAAAGTTTATGAATATTGTAATTTTTATAAATTTGAGGGGTTATGGCCAATTAATTTAATAGAAAAATTCTAAAATTAATATTATTATTGTAGCAACAATCTTTTATAAGATTGTAGCAAAAAATATGCAACATCATTTTTTATACTTGTGTAGTATATATCATTTAATGTGAATTATGATTAGTTAGTATATAGTGATTAGATATTATTGAATATAATAGTATAAAAATGATTACTTACTTAAAATAATTGTAAAGATTTCTTACCATAATTAACTAAAAACATGAGAAACTTTTTATCTTCTTTTTTATTTTAAAAATAGGATTAATAGTGGTTCGAGAAACTTTTTATCTTGCACTAAATGAATAGCACATCTTTACACACACAAACTAATTAGTATTCGACCTTGTTATTTCCATGCACATATGAATATAAATTTTATAGGTTATGTATGCCTATGTAATATTTAAAAACTACAAGTTATACAATTAGCATATCAAGTTTTATAAATTTATAATTAGTAAAAATGAATAATATAAATATAATCTATTTAACGTACATATGAATCTCTGTATTGATCGCAATGATGTATCTTTTACAATTTTGGCTGATTATGGCCAATTAATTAAATAAAATAATATTGAAATTATTATTATTATAGCAAATGTCTATGAAATTTTAAACAGTTTGGTTATGCCATAAAAAACAATTATATACTTTTATTGTTTTAGAAAATTCTTAAAGAGCCGAAAAAGAATAAAAAATTTAAATAAATAATTTGAAAAAATGTTTTGACCTATAATATCATTTAAATTAAGTAATAGTGGGTAACATTGGTTGAGGAGGAGGCCTTTCGGGACCCCGATACCTATTGAGTAGCAAATCTCTGCACTCTCGTAGTAAATTATCCTTTCCTCGATGAACTGATGAACTCAAGCTTTTATGACTGACAAGCACATTCATTCTTTTGAGACAGCAAGAAATTGACATTAACCAATCGGGTGACCTACCATTGAAAGAAATCTATCTCTTATCGTCAGCCTCCAACGGAAAAAGAAATTGATGGCCAGGCTCGATATAATTGACCAAACATATAATATCATTTGATGTGACTTTATAATTAAGTAATAGTAGTAGCTATTATGTTATAATATAAAAAAAAGTACTCATTAAAACAAAATATAATGGAAAATAGTGGGAAAGCAAAAACAATTGTCACAATTTTTTTGCTAAAAATGATAAATATGTGTGTGTGTGTGTGTGTGTGTGTGTGTGTGTGTGTGTAAGGTGATGTAATACAAATATAATTAATTATGATCTAAGTATGTAATATATAAATAATAAGGTAACAATTGAAAGTTATAAAAACACACGAATTAAGAAAAATGAAGGTAGTTCTAAATTTGAATTAAAAAAAAAAAAAAAA